ATCCTCGCGCTTCCTCTAGTAATATAAATAATAATAAGGCTTTGTCAGGCTCCTCAACCACTGCTCACACTTTGACCAATTTGATTAACACAAATACCACTGTGCTTTTATCCACAGCTGTAGTTAAAGCAAAAGACAACCATGGGAATGTTCATAATATTAGAGTTTTATTAGATAGTGCCTCTCAAGCTAATTTTATTACTCAAAAATGTTGTCGATTAAATCTACGAACATTTCCAATATCGTTTTCGGTACGCAGTGTAGGGGAGACTTTTTCGAATTGTTCAAGGGGAGCTTCCTGCAAAATATTTGCAGGCGATGACAACTCGATTCAATTTTTATTGGATGTTGTTGTTCTTCCGAAAATCTGTGGACCAATGCCTACCTCTCAATTGAAACTAAAAGGAATGAATCATATTTCTAATCTCAAATTGGCTGATCCTAAGTTTGATCAACCAGGTGATATCGACATGTTAATAGGTGCAGATACTTTTCCATTGATTTTAGGGTCTGAACGCATTGCTGGAAAAGAAAATGAGCCTACAGCCTTTAACACAGTGTTTGGTTGGGTTCTCATGGGAAAAGTAACTAATCCGTGTACGACAAATGTTAACACATTTTTCTCCTCTTTCGAATCGACAATTAATAAAACTCTTAATAGATTTTGGGAACTTGAAGAAGTTCCAAGGAAGCATACTCTCTCTCCCGATGATGCTCTTTGTGAAAAGATTTTCAAAAGTACTCATTATCGAAATGAAACTGGTCGCTTTGTTGTTTCTCTTCCCTTTAAAGATTTAGAACCTACTTTTTCTAATTCTCGTCCTTCTGCTCAAAAACGTTTTTTGTCGTTAGAACGTCGTCTAACAGCTAACCCTCGACTCTATGAAGAATACTCAAAATTTATGAAAGAATATTTAGATTTAGGTTTTATGTCTTTGGTTAATAGACCCATTAATGCAAATACATATTATATTCCCCATCATTGTATTTTCAGACCTGAAAGTACAACTACCCCAATTCGCGTTGTATTCGATGCCTCATCAAAATGTGACGAAGGCTACTCACTAAATGATACTTTGCTTTCTGGTCCAAAACTTCAACAAGATATTTATTCAATTCTTTTAGATTTTCGACTACATTCTGTATTTTGCACAGATATAAAGAAAATGTTTTTGCAGATTTTAATAGATGAAAAATATAGGGATTATCAGCGTATCTTATGGAGATTTTCGCCCTCTGAACCTTTACAAGATTTTTGTTTAAACACAGTTACGTTTGGTATCTCGACGTCTCCTTATCTTGCTATTCGAACTCTGTTACAACTGGCGGAAGAAAATATTTCTAATTTTCCTAGAGCAGCCAAACTTTTACAAACCTCTACTTACGTCGATGACATTATTGGTGGTTGTGCGTCGTTAGAAGAAGCTCTTTTAACTCGAAATGAATTATTGGAATTGCTTCAATCTGGAGGTTTTGAACTGCGCAAATGGATAAGTAACAATCCGCTGTTACTGAACGATTTGCCTGAAACACATTTATACTCGCAATCTCTAGCTTATGATTTAGATAATGATGTATCTATCAAGCTTTTAGGATTGCGTTGGTATCCATCAAAAGATGTATTTTCTTATAATGTAAATGTTCTAGATCAGCCATGTACAAAGAGAAATATCTTATCAGAACTTGCTCGTATTTTTGACCCACTTGGTTTTTTGACCCCTCTTACTTTATTCGCAAAACATCTAATTCAATACCTTTGGAGTTTGGGTTTAAATTGGGATGAACCACCCCCTCCTGATATTAAAAATAAATGGTGTCGCTACAAATCAGAACTCAAACTGCTCTCAAATCTAAAAATTCCTCGAAGAATTAGTTTTGATAATTCTATTTGTTATGAACTTCATGGTTTTGCTGATGCCTCGGAACGTGGTTATGGTTGCGTTATATATTTTCGTGTGTTATTAAAAGATCAGTCCGTCAAAATTAAATTGGTTTGTGCAAAATCTAAAGTTTCTCCTCTCAAAAGAATATCTATCCCTCGTCTGGAACTTTGTGCGGCAGTTTTATTGTCTGATCTATTTGAATCTGTTAAAACGGCTTATAAAAATATAATGTTTGATCGAGTATATGCATGGACCGATTCTACTGTAGCTTTATCATGGATAAAGTCTTCTCCACATCGTTGGAAGTCGTTCGTTAGTAATCGCGTTAGTCATATTCAAGAAAAATTAGCTCCTCAATATTGGAACCATATTTCTTCAGAAAACAATATCGCCGATTGTGCCTCTCGTGGTTTGTTGCCCGCAGAATTAGTTGAACATTTGGAATGGTGGGCGGGGCCTAAATTTTTACATTGTTCCGGAGAAATAGAACCTCAACGAGTAGATGTTAATACGTCTTTAGATGTAATGGCTGAAGAACATCGATTAACTCTTAATATTTCTTTGAACGAAAATTCAATTGAATTTTTAACACAAAAGTTTTTTAACTGTGGTGGTATCAAAAATATTACTTAATAAACATTTTATTGTTGGTCCAATCCTGGTTAAAATCTCCGATTGAAGCCAATAACTAAATTCTAATCGTTTTTTTAACATTTTAAAACGTGTTTTGGTATTGAGATAAATTGTTTACAATTATATTGAATCGTATTTTTTTTTAAATGAATCGTTGGCGAATTTGAATAAAATTGTTGTTTCCAACTTCAGTTTCGATCTTTTTTGGCAGCCTGAAACGACAATAATGTCGATCAAATTTACGTTTACCCTAGGTATAATTTTTTTAAAAGTATACAAGTATATAAATTAATCCCGGGGCATTCGCCATTTTATCAAACGTTAAAATCCCCAAGAAAAATGTAAATTAACAGTTAGCATACTTACATATATCAGATAAAAAGCCTCTCTCAAAACAATTCTGACCTATTTAATTTTAATGAAAAAATAAATTTCTTAGTAGAAAACTTTCTTCTAATAATAAGCGCCATCTAAACAACGTGCCCCGAAACTAAATTATTTACCGTTTTCTCTAATAGTGCACTATGATTCTATGGCATGTCATAGAATTCTGTTAATTAGGCCTAATAACATTCCCACTCTATCAAAATTACTCACTTTGCTAAAGTTCACTGTATAAATATGACGATAGCACTTGAACTTGAAAAACAAAAGTAATGTAACAGGAATTATCATTTTAATATTATTATTATTGCACTAAAAGTATTGTGACCAAATTAAGGTTAGTAAAAAGTGATATTTTGAAATGGCCAAAATAAACGAAGATTTATTGAAAGAAAGAAAGAAGTGTAGTTTTAATACAGCTGAATTAACGCATTTATTAGATGGGGGTAAAGACAAAACTTTGGAAAGACATTCAAGAGGTAAGTAAAGTAAATTATAAAACTTTCTCTTTTTTAAATAACTGTTTTAAACTCTTTCTAGAACATTTCTTTTTGGATGATCCCGAATTACGATCAAAAATACCTTTGGAATACTTAAGTCATAAGGAAAAATATGAAGAGGCTGTCAGAAAATCTTGTATTCTTTTTAGAAAGGTACAAGAATTACAAGAAGCTGGAAAAGGAGGCATAGAAAATTTTAGGTATTTTTTATTTAAAATTATTAATTAATATTTAATGTCCTATTTTCTGAGAACTTTGAACCTGTTATACTATAAACAAAATTAATAGTTTATTACTAGAACAATTAATTTTAAAACTTTATTTCTATGATTTTTTTCATGATCAAATCGCAAATGTGGATGTTTTTAAAATAAAAAAGTCAATTATACTTTAAAAATCAAGTAAGTAATTAATATAAACATTTGAAGAGCATACAATTAAATCATTGAACATTCAAAATTTTTAATTACATCTCTAATAAGTTAAAAATTCAATTCCAGGGAAATATTGGGAGGTCAGTTGGGTTCAGCCATATTAAAAGACGGCAACCCACTAACACTCCACTATGTGATGTTCATACCCACCATCACTGGACAGGGTGATTTTGAACAGCAAGCTGAATGGATGCACAAAGCATGGACTTGCAGCATTATAGGAACCTATGCCCAAGTAAATATTTTTCGAAAATATACTACACAAAAACGTGCTGAATTGGTTATTTTTGTTTAGACTGAGTTAGGTCACGGTACATTTATTAGAGGTCTTGAAACCACGGCCACATACGATCCAAAAACTGAGGAATTCGTATTGAATAGCCCCACTCTAACTTCTTACAAATGGTGGCCAGGCGGGCGTAATATAAAATAAAAATATATAACAATAAAAAAGTAATTGTTTTTTTGTAGTCGGTCACTCTGCCAATTTCGCAATTGTAGTAGCTCAATTATACACACAGGGTAAATGTCACGGAATTCATCCCTTCATCGTACAATTAAGGGATGAAGAGACCCATATGCCCATGAAAGGCATTAAAATAGGAGAAATCGGGTGCAAGTTGGGTATGAACTCAACCAACAATGGTTATTTGGGCTTTGAGAACTACCGCATACCCAGGACCAATTTGCTCATGAAAAATAACAAAGTTTTACCTGTAAGTAATCATTTCATAGATAACTGCACCAAATCGATCAAGGGTCAAGTTTGTGTTTTTAGAAACACAGACAACAGAAATAAAATAAATTCGAAGTTTTGTTTCCACCAACCAATCAAATTATTGTCTGAAGAAATTTTAAATGTTGTTAATAAATTGCACGGGAAGCTATGCACGTTCATCCTTTCATAATTTTGTAAGAATGTCGAGCTTTGATTTTAATAAACTAAAAAATTTAATTGGCCACAAGCCAAAGCAAAATACAAATATACAATCTGTTTGATCCTTTGTGATCTGTCTGATTCCGAACGAACGGAAATCAAAAAATAAAACAGCATCTGTCGCAAAACCCCCGACTATTCAAAACAAAAAAAATAAATTTTCAGGACGGAACCTACGTCAAATCACCAAGCAGCAAGCTAACATACGGTACCATGATTTTCGTTCGAGTCGTATTGGTGCAAGATTGCGCTAGCTACATGAAGAAAGCTGTCACTATAGCCACAAGATACAGTGCTGTGAGGCATCAATCGGAAATGAAGCCAAAGTAAACAAAACTACTCTATATTTTGCAAATTACGAGATTATTAAAAAAATAATTTTAGCTGCCCTGAGCCGCAAATCATCGACTACGTAACTCAGCAGTACAAGTTATTCCCATATATAGCTATGAGCTTTGCGTTCCAGTACAGCGCCAGTTGGTTGTGGGATATATACAACAACGTCACAGGAGAGCTGGAATCGGGCCAATTGGAAAATTTACCGGAGTTGCACGCGTTGGCTTGCTGCCTTAAAGCTGTAGGCACTGCAGATTGCGCTGCGGGTGTTGAAACTTTAAGGTTGGCTTGTGGGGGGCATGGTTACATGACGGCTTCCAACTTGCCATCCACATACGGCCTGGCGACTGCCATGTGTACTTACGAGGGTGAGAATACCGTGCTACTATTGCAGACCGCCAGATATCTGATTAAGATTTGGCAGAACAAGAAGAACATTCAGAACTTGCCCACGGTTAGGTACTTGGATAATGCCTTATTCAACAATAGGTCCTACGAAAAGTCGGTTAGCTGGATTTTGTCTGCACTTCAGCAAGTCGCAGCTGCCAAAATCGATTTAGCCAATAAGCATATCAACGACAGGGTTAGACAAGGTAAAGCTTATGAAGACGCTTGGAATGAAACTTCCATCGAATTAGTAGCAGCTGCGGATGCTCATTGCAGAACTTTTCTGCTTGACATTTTCAATTTAACCGTTAATAACTTTCAATCAATTTCACCTGAACTGAAAGCTGTTCTTACGGATCTTTTGGAGTTGTATGCTGTTCATACCGCCATTAGAATGACTGGGGACTTATTAAGGGTAAATATTTTCAAATATAATGTACGGCTTTGAAACTTATTGCTTGTTTTTAGTTTACCAATACTATTGGTAAGGATGTTGAAGCATTGCAACTGTGGTTGGAAGAGTTATTAGCCAAAATTCGACCAAACGCAATAGGGATTGTCGATAGTTTCGATATTAGGGATGAAGTTCTTGGTTCAGCTTTGGGTGCTTATGATGGTAATGTATACGAAAGATTATTTGCCGAAGCCCAAAAAAGCCCACTGAACCACGAGCCGGTCAACAAATCATTTGGGCTCTATCTTAAACCATTCCTAAAAAACAATCTTTAATAAACTTAATGATATATTTTTGACACTTTTTATACATTGTTTTTATTTTATTGTTCTTATAGTATTATTTAAATGTTACTTACAAATCCATCCAGTAAATATATGATATTTTATTACAAAAAATGTTTTATTTCAAACCCATCAAATGGCAATTGCAAGGTCAAAATTGCAATTACATGCAAATATTAATTATTTTCTGAGGTCATCAAATTGCAAAATATTTAAAATTAGATTGGTTAGTAGGCTTAATAATAAAATAATAAAGATAAATAACTTTATTGCCATAGCCTACAAAATATCATTATCATACAACTCGCAAATCAAATTGACCATTTTGGTGGTGCATAACTCGTTCGTGGTGGTAGTGGGTATCAAAAAATCTTCAATTTGCTCACTTTCGTTTTCGTTTTCATACATATCGGGAGCTTCATCACTGTCGCAGGTGGATATGGGGATCATATCTATTGCAAGACCAAGACCGAATAGTGCAAACTTTCGAAATTCTATCATCAAAAGATTGAACGTGTATTCTTTATTGTTTAATTTATGATTTTCGCTGGGTGTGTTTTTCAGCAACGCGCTCAGATTTGAGAAGCAAATTTCATGGTATCTGCCCAGCATTTCCTTTAGGTGTAGATCGCGTAGATTTCTCGTAGTGCAACAGTAGATAAGATTTGCTAGATCTAAAGCTATGGAACCGTGTCGGCAAAGTTGGAAATCGATAAAGCAAACCTTTAAACCTTTACTGTCATCCAACTTGAACAGTATGTTGTTGGTCCAACAATCGCCATGGCAGAGCACTGACAAGGGTCCTGTATCGCTTACTAAGTTGATCATTTTTTCGAAGAACGAATCGTTGGCGAAGTTGGCAAACTTGTTTAAAATTGTCGTCCCCAACTCCAGTTTTGATAGTTTTTTGGAAGCCTAAAACCAACATTGATGTGATAAATCCCAGATAGCAATCGTGCGCCGCACGTAGGTCGCACGGCGTATGAACGCACACGTGCGCCTTAAATGCGGCACACGTGCGCTGCATATGAGACGCATATGTAATCGCATCTGTATAGTGATCTGCGCGCACGCGTGCCACTGAGGACACACGCGTGCACTCATAGTGCGCGCATCGTGACTACATTTTGCTATCTGGGATATAATATTTTAATTTACATATTACCATATCCAAAACATTTTGTATGGCGTGCTTGTAGTAATCCCGATACCATTCCTCGTTTTCCTTGATGAATAAGGCCTCGGAAATTCCGTCGCGCGTATTCAGCAGGGTGTAAAAATCTTGCGGGTGCAACATTTTAACCGCCAATGAGACCGCGTGGAACTTTGCTAGCTCGTCCAAAACAGCGGTGATTTGTTTGAAATTCAGTCCGACTTTTCGATCTGCCATTTCGTATCCACTCAATCTTAAATCTTCCAGCACAATCAAGTTGTCTCGTGCGTAGTAGCATTTTGGTATTGCTTGAAATGTGGAAGACAAAATGTTTTCTTTTGATTTCTGAAAATTTCGGGATTATATAAATATATGGGCGACGGTATGTTATAAAATTGTCTTACTTGGAATTTTTCGTACAAAGGCATCACTTTGGTGTAGAAAGCCACCTCGTTTCTGAATAATTTTTCGCTTTTGTATGCTTCTCTTCTTGCGGCACTCTCTGGTAGGCATTTGTAAATAATGGATGTTGTCCATTGGTCGAAGCCATCGTTGGTTTTTTTATGTCCGTCCAATTTTAATCTATACAATGAAGCAGTATAATTGTCGCCTCTTCCTGATCCTAGAGATTCCTAGAACATCGATAGAAAATATTGATTATTGTAATGAGGATTGCTTACTTCAAAGTTTTCAATTGTGACATTTTCATCGATTTGTTTGAACAGATCTTGCAAAAATTTCAGCGTCACCTTCTGCTCTTCCATTATATTGTCTAAAGCCTCAAATGAATTGAAGCATATTTGATTTAAATTGTAGGATATTATTTAATTGAAGTGAATAATAGCGGCCCTATTTAGTAGTTACCAACCAATTGTCATTATTTTAATAGGTATTTGTATTTTGTATGTACGCTAAGTAGGAAAACTATTTATTAAGTAACTTTTAAATTGATTACTTTTGCCGAAATGTCTTCTACATCTATATTAACATATTTATCGAATGAAATAAATATTTCTTTTTTACTCCCCCCTTTAATACGTCCATTATCGTACATGTTTCCATGATACTAGAAAAATGTACATGCACTGATAATGAAACTAATTTTGTAAGCGATTAATAAAATAATATTATTTAACTTAAATTTAAAATTGTAATGGCTATACAAAAATTTAACCAAACCTACGATTTGTCAAAGTAATGAGATTATTTTTATTTACAGAATAAACTTTTTTTACTGTTAATAAAATTCTCATTTACTATAATGAAGCAGCAATGTTGAGCTTTTATAAAAAAAAATGTTCATCCAACAAAGTAATAGTTGTTATCATATTTTCATGGCAATAAGAAATACTTTATGTTATAGTAAAATTTGTTCATTTTACTATGGCATATTTGTCTTTTTTAAATTACTATCGTTGTAATACAAAATAATTTTATTTCAGTTAGAACAATAACAAAAATATCGTTAAGAACAATAACAAAAATATTTTATTGCTATAAAAAGACTTTTTTAATATTTACTAATGTTTTGCAATGGTAACAAAATTTTTGTTATTTTCCTTAAAAAGAGGGGGAAAGGGCCAGCGCTCTCCTTGGTGAACATAACTTTATAATCCAAAGTCTGTGTTATAATCCTATTGATTTCACTTGTGCGAGCGAAGTGTGGTAAAATTTAGCATGATAAAAATATCAAAAATATCAGAAATTAAAATTTCGACGTTTTCTAAAAGAAACATTTATTTATTCTATAAACGAAGCAGACTTGTTGTTTAAAAAGAGAGTTCATATTTTTTTTATTTTGTACATCATATAATATGACTTAATTTTTGTTATAATAAATAATTTGTTTTAATACGAAGGCGTAGAAGGGACAATTACACTAAATTCATTTTTATTATTTAATTCTGCGTTAGCTAACACAGAATTAAATCCGCCATATTTAATTCTGCGTTAGCTAACACAGAATTAAATCCGCCATATATAATTCTGCGTTAACTAACACAGAATTAAATCCGCCATATTTAATTCTGCGTTAGCTAACACAGAATTAAATCCGACATATTTAATTCTGCGTTAGCTAACACAGAATTAAATGCAATTAATTTAGTGTAATTGTCCCTTCTACGCCTTCGTAGTTTTAATGTTTTGCAATTATTTAAAAAAAACTACCCAATACCCAACAGTAGGTTGGAAATGTGACCATTGTTGCAATGAAAATAGTTTATTGACTTAACAATTAATTTGTTGTTAATTTTACATAAATTTTATTAATATTATAAAAAAGTTTTATTTTAAATGAAAAGGGATTTGTAAAATTTATAAAATGCATATGAATAATACCATTCGGGTTTCATTAATACTACAAAACGTTTTTGTAAACGGTATAGAACTGTTTTTTTGGACAAATAATAATAACTATATTTATCAATGCCTTTCTGCATCTGGAAAAGTGTTATTTTTATAAACATAACGTAAATTTACTTTATAACACAGTACAACACGATTTCCCTCCCATGAAAAATTTTAGCAGATTTTGAAAATAAAGGTAAAAAAAACGTACCCGTGTCTCACAGTTTCACGAGATCACGTCATAAAAAAATTTTAAGCCGTTATTCCTATTATTTATGCTTATACAGATTGTACATTTTTTACTCGGTTAAAAATATATTTTTTTGTAAATATTGTATGTTTTTACACAATTCAAAAAACAAATATAAAAAAAGTTTATATTTTGAGTTTTTATAAATATTTTTTTTTATTTTTTTTTTAATGAAACACATTTTTGTATTTATCTTATATTCAATATATGTTGGAATAAAATCTTGGTCGTTTAGTTTGACGATTATACAGCTCGTTTAGACTAAAACCGAATATATCTATATATATCTATATATATATATATATGGGGCGTGGCCTCGCCTCCCTCCAACACGCGACACAGTAGCTAAGCAAATAGACTGCATCGCTAATGAGATTTTTTGCATTATTATCTTTTAATTTTTTAAGTCCTTACCTGCTCGACCTTTCGTCATGTCGTTTATCACACAAGCAACTGTGACGCGCCTTGGAGGGAGACGAGGCCACGCCCCATATATATATATATAGATATATTCGGTTTTATTCTGAACAGGCTGTATATTGCTTCAGAATCTCGAACAATTGACCAGCAATATTCACCCAGCAAATGCCTGACGTCTTTTCCCTTGAAGCGTTTTTCAATTGTTAAAATGTCTTGGTGAAAACGTTCGCCATGTTCGTCACTAAAATCGCCCAAATTTGGTGGAAAATAGTCCAAATGAGCATGGAGAAAATGTATTTTCAGTGACATATGTACTTTCATGTCCTGTGCTATAAAATGTACTTTATAACCCGAACTACAGGGAATAAATTCAGATTCCATCTCGGAAAAAATGGTTGTACTGGGTGTTAAAGGTCTTTTACTTTTATCCTCACATATGTTTTCTGAAGGAGCAGTTGGATAATCTTCAGATCGCACTCTTGCGAGAATGACGGATTCTACATCGGCGTAATCAATTTTCTCTCTAGAATTGTACCGAAATCTAAAACTTTTTAATTTTGACATGCAGAAATAACACTGGTCAGATGCGTGTTCGGTAAGTCGCGACGGGTCGAAGCCAAATTGTTGGTGCAACATATTTCATACTGTGTGTTTTATCTTGCAATCCATGCAAACAACGGTAACAATAATCGCATAAAACCTCTGGTACATACCATAAGTTTGGTATATACGTCACCAAAAAATAGTCTTCAAAAGCTGTTACTACACTTTTTGTAATATTTCGCATATGGCTTGGAGGAGCAAATAAACCACATACATAACAAAAATTATTTCGATTCGGACACTGCATTTTTACTTTGATTTCAAATGGATGGTTAACTTCAACAATCAAAATTAATATGAAAAATTTATCGATTTATCGCTGCAATAATGTTTTTATTTAACATTTAAAAAAAAGTATTACCCTCGTATATAGATTGTTTTGAAAACAATGCTTTTTATGTATAAATGCCGCAGATGTGTACATTTTTTGTTTTTTTGCTGTTTCAATTGACTTCGTATACTTAAATACTTTTTTTAAAACTTAAATTAAATATGTTTTAGGTACACTTGCTTTAAGACTTAAATCAATTCATTTAAATATCTTTTAATTTTTTTTAAAAATGTTAATTCAACAAAGCTCAATTTTTACAAAAAATTGAATAAATAAAAATTGTAATCACCCGACTTTAAAGCATTTTGATTGGCTTAAAATTGAAACATTTTGTTACTTGGTTTAAAAATAAACCGTTTGATATATATATATGGGCAGATCCATTACTTTTCGACAAAAGTGTGCGGGGGTAAGTCACCGATTTGGCTGCCGATTTTTTTCTCGAAAGTAGGTCATATAAGGAGACGATCCTGAAAATTTGAGCTCGATATAGGTAATTCCGGCTGCAAGAAATTTTTTTGAAATATAAAAAAAGTCGATTTTTTAGTCATTTTCAAAAATTCGTATCTCAGCTCCTATTTAACTTAGAGATTTGATCAAGACGGCATTTTTCTCTGTTATCCCTCTATTTTCAATAAAAAAATAGGTTTTAAGTTTAAACTTAAATCCGGCTAAGCTGTAAGCCTCCAAATAAAACACTGCTTAAGATAAATTTTGCCAATTTTTAAAGTGCTCTCAAATCTACAGTTTTTGAAGCAGTGGAATAAATGACAGATGATATTTTTCGTTAAGGTATACTCTGTTGGAATTTACCCATTTTTTACTTAATTGCTTCGATTTATCTAATGTATGGCCACTCAAAGACAATTGATTTGTGAAAAATCAATGTTTTCAGATACCTACAACTTTTTTCTATCGATCCGAAATCCTTTGAAAATTTCAGGGATTATACTTTATTCTATTCCCAAACAAACCATCAAAACTTTTTCTTGGGTATTGAAGTGGTTTCCGAGCTATGCATTTTTAAAAATGTCAAATTTTCAATATAATATGACATTTTTGGTAGTTTTATTTTCAGTTAAATCAATTATTAGTAATACTTTAGTCAATAATCTATTAGACCTTGTTCATTTTTCTCGAAAGTAGGTCATATAAGGAGACGATCCTGAAAATTTGAGCTCGATATGGGTAATTCCGGCTGCAAGAGAATTTTTTGAAATATAAAAAAAGACGATTTTTTAGTCATTTTCAAAAATTCATATCTCAGCTCCTATTTAACTTAGAGATTTGATCAAGATGGCATTTTTCTCTGTTATCCCTTTATTTTGGATTAAAGAATTTAATTTTGATTTGCAAAAAGGTGAAATTAATTTTAAACGTTGGGACACAGCTGGAGGTAGAGCTTTTCTAGCCAATTATACGAAAAGTAAAAGCAGTGTTTTAGATAATTTGTTTTCTGATGTCTGGAATTTAACTCTACATTCTTATATTGCCGATTCTCAAAAAAATTATTTATTTGATTGTAAAAAAAAATTGCAAACTGATACTTGTATAATAATAATGGATTTCGCTGAGAATTACTCTTTTATAATACAACGTCCAGTACAAGCATTTTATTATAATAATTTACAAGCTTCAATTCATCCTTTTTGTATGTACTATAAAGATCCCAGCAAAGAAGATAACGAAAAACTGGAGCAACTAAGTTTTTGTGTAATAAGTGACACTAAGGAACATTTTGCATATACAGTTCACGCTTTTTAAAACAAATTAGTGCAAGTTCTGAAAAAAGATTTCCCATGGATTAAAAACATTATCTATTTCTCT